CACCTATGTGCATGTCCTTGAGCAGATGGAAATAACACTAAAATATGCTTCCGGGAAAATACTCACTGGAATGTACGACACTAAGCTGTGTCAATTATTTCAACACAAAATGTGAAACAAAGTCGTATTTGTTACGTATACATTAAGTATATAGCGATCACTAACCGTTTTTAAAGTATTTTTAACATGCATTTTTGAATCACGATTTTTTTTACATTTTTGATGCGTATACATTGTTTTACAAAAAAAAAACGAAATATTTTACTATATAATGCTCTACCTTGTTTTATTAAAGCGAAAGAAAACATACCTTCTTACATGATGTTCAACATTGTTTTATAAGAGTTGCAGACAGAGAATTCTCACTATAGGATGTACTGAAACAGTTTATAAAAGCCAGAGACAGAGATCTTTCACTATAGGATGTTCTACATTGTTTTATAAAAGCCACAGACAGAGATCTTTCAGAATGTTTTGCATTGTTTTATAAAAGCCAGAAACAAAAATCTTTTGCTATAGGATGTTCTGCATTGGTTTATAGGAGCCACAGACAGAGATCTTTCACTGTAGGATGCTCTACATTGTTTTATAAAAGCCACAGATAGAAATCTTTCACACAGGATGCTCTACGTTATTTCATTAAAAAAAAACAGACATATTTCTTTATAGGATGTTTCACACTGTTTTATATAAGCTAAAGACAGATATCTTTTACTATAGGATGTCTTACATTGTTTTATGAAAGCTACTAAGAGAGATATTTCACTACAGAATGTTCTATATTGCTTTATTTAAGCCCCAACAGAGATATTTCTCTGCAGGATGTTATGCCGTATTTGATAAAGGCTGCAGATAGGGATAGTTCCATACATCATTTTATAAAAAAACACCGATAGAAATATTTCCTTATAGAGTTTTATGCAGTATTTTATAAAAGCCAGTGACTGAGATATTTTCCAACAGGAAGTTCTACATCGTTTTAAATAGTACAGGATGTACTGCTCTGTTTTATAAAAGCAACAGACAGACATGCATATCCTTACAAGATGTTCTAAATTGTTTTATGATAGCCACATTCAGAGATCTTTCATATGGTATATTTCATATTGTTTTAAAAAGCTGCAAACAGAGTTATTTCACTACAAGATGTTCTACATTATTTTGTAAAGGCCACAAATCGAAATACTTCCCTACAAGATGTTCTACATTGTTTTACAAAAGCTAAAGACAGAGATCTTTCACTTTAGAATTTTCTACATTGTTTTATGAAAACCACAGACAGAGACAAAGTTCTTTCTCTGTAGGATGATCTACCTCACATTATAACAACCACAGATAAAAATATTTCCTTATAGAGTGTTATGCAGTGTTTTATAAAAACAACGACTGAAATATTTTCCATCAAGAATTTATACATCTCTGTGGTTGTTATAAAACCAGAGACAAAGTTCTTTCTCTGTAGGATGATCTACCTCACATTATAAAAACCACAGATAAAAATATTTCCTTATAGAGTGTTATGCAGTGTTTTATAAAAACCAACGACTGAAATATTTTCCATCAAGAATTTCTACATCGTTTTATAAAACTACTCGATGTTCTGCTTTGTTTTATAACAACCACAGATAAAAATATTTCCTTATAGAGTGTTATGCAGTGTTTTATAAAAACCAACGACTGAAATATTTTCCATCAAGAATTTCTACATCGTTTTATAAAACTACTCGATGTTCTGCTTTGTTTTATAACAACCACAGATAGAGAGATTTCCGAAATATTTTACTGTACGAACATTCTACAGTCATAGACAGACATATGTTCCTATTGATTTTATCAACATTCTTTTATATAAACCACAGACAGAGATATTATCTGGAGGATGTTCTATATTGTTCTATAAAAACTACAAACATAGATATTTCAGTGTAAAAAAAATTATACACCGTTTATAATACCCAAAGATATATATATCATTACAGGATGTTCTAAATTATTTTTCAAAAGCCAAAGCTAGAGATCTTTCACTATATGATGTTTTACATCGTTTTATAAAAGCCAGAGACATAGAGATTTTCCTGTATAATGTTATGCAGTATTTTAAAAAGCGAATTGCTGAGATGTTTTCCCACAGAAAGTTCTACCCTGTGTCATAAAAGCCAGAGACAGAGATATTTCTATACAAGATGTTGTATATTGTTTCATAAAAGCTACAGAAAGAGACATTTTCTTACAAGATGTTCTGCATTGTTTGATAAAAGCCTCAAACAGAGATTTGTCACTACAAAACATTTTACTTTGTTTTATAACAACCAAATATAGAAATATTTCCGTATAGGATGTTCTACATCGTTTTACGAGAAACACAAACAGACACCTTTCATTAAATGATGTTCTACGTTGATTAGAAAACACACAGACAGACATATATCACTACAGATTTTTTCAACATTTTTATACAAACCACAGACAGAGATATTAGCCTAAAAGATGTTCTACATTTTTCCATATTTCACTGTAAGTTACTTTCACTATAGAATATTCTACATTTCATACAGAAACGCAGACGGATATGTATCTTTACAGGATGTTCTAAATTGTTTTGTAAAAGCCGCAGTCAGAGATCTTTCACTATGGGTTCATTTATATTGTTTGATAAACGCTACAGATACAGATGTTTAACTACAGGATGTTCTGCATTATTTTGTAAAACCACAGACAAACATCTTTCACTATAGAATGTTCTATATTGTTCTATAAAAGTTACAGACATAGATCATTCACTATAGGATATTCAAAGTTGTTTCATAAAAGCCCCAAATAGATATATATCCTTACAGGATATTCTACATCGTTCTATGAACCCCAAGGACAGAGATATTTCATTATAGGATGTTTTACACTGTTTTATAAAAGCTAGAGACTGTGATAATTCACTACAGGATGTTCTTCATTGTCTTATTTAAGCCACAGACACATATATTTCCCTGCAGGATATTATACCTTATTTCATAAATACCGCAGACAAGGATAGTTCCATACAGGATGTTCTGAATTGTTTTATAAAAGTCACAGACAAAGTTCTTTCACTGCAGGATGCTCTACATGTTTTACAAAAGCCACAAACAAGTATATTTCACTACAGAGTGTTCTATATCACATTATAAAAACCACAGATAGAGATATTTCCTTATCGAGTGTTATGCAGTGTTTTATATGATTGAGATATTTTACTATAGCGTTTTTTACATCAATTTATATAACTACAGGATGTTCTACATTGTTTTATAAAGGACAGAGGCAAAAATGTTTCAATACAAGATGTTGTACATTGCTTTGTAAAAGCTACAGACAACAAATACTTTCCTACAAGATGTTCTGCATTGTTTTATAAAACGCTACAGTCTCTCATATTTCCGTATAAAAGCTACAGATAGAGATTTTTCACTATATGATGTTCTATGATGTTTTGTAAAAGCCACAGACAGCCATATATCCATAGAAAATTTTAAACATTGTTTTATAAAACGCTACAGTCTCTCATATTTCCGTATAAAAGCTACAGATAGAGATTTTTCACTATATGATGTTCTATGATGTTTTGTAAAGCCACAGACAGCCATATATCCACAGAAAATTTTAAACATGGTTTTATAAAAACTACAAACGGAGCTCTTTTACTGTAGAATGTTCTACATTGTTTTGAAAAAAACACCGACAGAAATATTTCACTGTAAGATATTCTATTCTACCTTTTTAGCCCCCCAGTGGCACAGCGGTATGTCTGCGGACTTACAACGCTAGAAACCGGGTTTCGATACCCGTGGTGGGCAGAGCACAGATAGCCCATTGTGTAGCTTTGTGCTTAATTCCAAACAAACAAACAATTCTACCTTTTTAAAAATGATTTGTTAAATAAGGGAGAGTCGTGAGACTAACAATAAAACATTGCATCTAAATAAAATTAAGATTTAGGTATTGGTTTTTCAGCCTGAACGTCAGTTTATGCGCTCGTGGGATAAGCGCCATGTCAGAAATATCTAGGACTCGGATGTAGCGCACCTAATTTTGAACTACACTGACCATAGTGAAGGGTGCCACTCAACAGCAACCGGCCGCCGCATGAGATTTTGCTAGACCATATTCGGACCAAGACTTAGGAGCAACTAAAATCTAGAAACATATGGACACCAGCTATACAGGTAATACTAGTGACGAAACACAACAAGATTATTAACACATATAGTTTGCTTACAAGAAATGAAACTGTTGAATAATTGAGTAAGCAAATGTTTGTAGGATTTAAGAGGGAACTTTTAACTAGTTATAACAGATCTGATATGCAGTTGGACTGACCAATGAACGTTTTTGATTAAGTAGCTACTAATTGAATTAGAAACCTTTGAAACATATATCAATATCGTCGTTACAACATATTATGAAAGAACTACAACCTATTTCATCCCCAGAATAGAAAAATATGATTTCAGTCGAATAAAAATATTTCTTTCCGATAGCAAATTTTTAAAAATATTTAGGCTTAAAACCGGCTTATATCACCAGTCATATATTGTGATCCGAAAAGCTTTTAACGGACCTTATCCAAAAAAGGTTGTGATTTTATAAAATGTGTATTTTCACCAGGACAAAGTTATCATATTATTTTAATAATAAAAATTGATCTATCAAATTTTTAAGATAAACAATCCAATATATATCGGTGAGTAGAATAGACTATAGTTTGAAATCTATAATTCTACTTTACTTTTAATTTTTATACTTTAAATCTTCGAAAAAACTGCTAAGTTAAAAGTGGTTAAAATATAGAGTAAATTCAAAATTACAAAATGACAAAACTTCAACAATATGGTAAGATTGACAACAAAGCCTTTGATGGGACAAAAGTTCTATTAATATAAACAATTTATGAAGAAGCTTGTCAACAGATTGTATTCTCGCATTATGTGTACAAAATATGATATGATGTGAAAGACACTACTTACTTTCTGAGTTGAAGGGTTGGAAAACTGTTTAGTTTCGTTGGTCTTGTGGGTAGTAACAGCTAATTTGTGTTAGTGTTGGAAGCTCTGAATTCAAGGGTGTTTCTTCTCTCTTATACCATTGTCGCCGGGAAGTCTTCATGATCTGCGCTTGCGCGAAACAAAAAATCGATACACTTTATACTGTTGCCTTTTCCGAGTAGCTCATCAAAATCTTGAACTCCATTTCACAATGTAGTTTAAAATAACACTGTATGCGCTTTTCATAACCCTATTAAAAATGTTCGTATAGTGCCATAAATAAACGCAAGAATTAAGTAATTTCATTATTCGTGTTCTTCTATACGTATAGCTAAACGCAAGGTTTGGGTAATCACATTATTCAGTTTTTTATTGCACTATAGCTGAACGCGAGGTTCGGGTAATCTCAGTATTCATGTTCTTGTTGCGCTATAGCTAAACGTAAGGTTTGGGTAATCACATTATTCATTTTCTTATTGCACTATAGTTGAACGCAATAATTCGGTAATCGCATTATTCATTTTCTTCTAGCTTTATAGCTAAACGTAATGGTTGGGTAATCTCAATATTCCTGTTCTTGTTGCGCTATAGCTAAACGCAAGGACTTGGTAATCGCATTACTTATTTTCTCGTTGCGTTATAGCTAAACGTAAGGGTTGAGTAATCTCATTATTCATGTTCATGTTGTGCTATAGCTAAACGTAAGAGTCGGATAATCGCATTATTCATGTTTTGCAGTGCCATAGCTAAACGGAAGCACTGGGCACTCTAATTTTTTGTGATTATTTTTAACACAGTTCTAAGCTCAAATCACCCAATTAAAATATTATTTAAATTTGACGTTACATACATGATGAATTATTAAAAAAACTATAGTGTAATAGATGAGCAAGATAGATGTATATTCTATATATAGAAAGCCTAGACATGAGACAGTACTATTTTAATATCACCAACCCCAAATCAAAACCTAAATTACAAATACCTGTATTTAACACATGTAAAAAAAAAACACCAAAAACAAAACAACAAACAAACATTTCTACAATGTTTTCACTGTGTGTTTTTCTTATAACAAAGCTACATCGGGTATTGGCTGTGTTTAACGAGAGAAATCGAACCCCTGATTTTAGTGTTGTAAATCCGAAGACTTACCGCAGTCTCACCAAAGTACTTTTCACTGTGTTAAAAAAGGCAAATTCAGGAAAACAATATATATACTATAAATTTATTCATATGCCTAAATATGAAATCAAATCTATATTTGATGACTTACCTCATGACATTAAAAACTGTTCCTTTATTTTGAATAACAATTAGAGAAAACAAGGCATAAATAGAATAAAAGGAGAGACGAAAATTTGTACCTTGAACTGCGAACTAACCTACACGTTATGTAGCTGTCTCTCGCATATTAATTATTACACCTAGCTGAGTTTGTAAATGGAAATAAGTTCAAAATACAAGTTGCTTTACAACGTATAGTAAGTGTGGGTATCATTAAGACTAATAACTCACAAAGCAGAACTTAGTTGATTATCTCAGAATGATAGCAATGGAAGATTCATAGTTTGAACCTTCCTTAACTAAAAACATTGCAAGCGTTAACCATATCTTGCATTTGCGGTTTTTGTTTGTATCTTAGAAAACAATTATCATGCACGATATGGACTCTTATGCTTAGGCACATATTAGTTGTGATGAATAGTTATTCTTAGAACCTGAATCAAGCTAGATATGCATGCACATTATCATATACCTGTTCATATATGATCACCCAGTTCAAAATAAAGATACATTTTACAGATTATGTCATGAATGTTTATTCTTCTTCTGAACCTTTAAAGGGAAGTTTGCAAACATATCCTATGAAGACTATCAGACTTGCACAAAATTTAGAACAAAATTTAAGCTTCAGTTGTGCAAATATTGCCTTAAACCTTTACCCAACTAATCTAAACTTAGAGCTCACAATCTTCAAGGTCAAAATGAAGTCGTATTTATAATAACGAAAACTTTTTTCAGAACTATCAGAACACATTTCATAATGTCAATATTGGGTTAAAGTTTTGTAAGTGTTGCAAGAATCATGCTATAATTAGCTCAGGCCTTGTGATAACGATCGTGAAGATCGATAGTAAGATTGATATTGTTGATCTTGAAGTTCTTTTATTATTACTTGTTTGAAATTCCACCTTATTTGATGGTTCGTTTTCCGTAGTCGAATTTATTATTTGAAAAAATATATTAATCTTCTCAAATCTTTGATATTTCACATGTTAATATATTTAATTATTCAAATATTCAGTGTCTATAAATCTCAGTTTGAATGTCTTGATTGCAGAATTAATATCCGACAGAAACTGACTTTTTTATTTTCATAATAAGTTTCTTACAAATGCAAAAAAAACACACAAAAAAACAGTTTTAATACCGTTAGTCTTTAAAAGAAAAACATGATTACAGATCATTTTTTCTTAAGATATAATATCTGTAAATCAGTAAAGTATAAAATAGTCTGTATGTTTAGTCATTCTTGAATTCGTCAGAGTTTAGTTGGTAGAAAAGCGTAAAGCGAACTTTCGGTCGTTTTCGATTTTGTTCTTTTTAAAACTTTTATTAATTACATGTATATATTTTTTTGAAATCGCTTAATTGTGGGCTGCTGATGAGAAAGGTTATAGTAAACACTGTAAACATAATCGATAGAGAGGTGGACGTTCATGAAAGTGTACATAGGAGGTTATCATACTTGTTACACATTATTAAAAAAAATGGCGCATCGTCACTATTTGACTTAGAAAATAATGTTCAATATTTTATGCTTTTAGAAATGCATTGTCTGTGTTCTTATGAGAATATGATTTATTATGTTTCGGCGTCCTCAGTTTGTCTGAAAACGACTAAAACTATGAAAGTTTTTTAAACTCAACTTTTAGGTTATTTGAAAAACAATTTTTGGAAAGATTTCATGAGGATTACTGTGTCATGTCGTGGCGACTACATATCGTATTATCAAATTTTAATTGGTCTTTCCACTATTGCAGTCTCCTTGTACAAAATATTGAGCTTCGTCAATGGCAATGCAAGAGTAGCAATCCAAGAAAATTTTATCCTTATATTCCGATAGTTTGTTCTTTATAGTGCATAGCTACACCTTGGACTATCTTCTCACTGTTCACTTTGGGGAATCGAACCTGGAGAATTATCATTACTCCACAGGAGGACACAGTGTAAGAGTTCATAATGATGTTTATTGGAATTGAAGCCTTGAAACATCCATCAAGTATTTAATATATAGATGCAACTCTAAATACAATTTAGATTTTTAGATGCGGTTGTTTCTGAAAAAATATAAGATTTAAATTAAATTTAATTGGGAGTGTATTTGAAAAATACAAATGGATTAAATTTACCTTAGATGTAAGTAGATCTGGAAACCAAAATATTTCCATCTTCCGAGATACATAGAGAAAGTCGTCTCATAGTTTTATCCGTCAGCAAATTAACTAAAGGGATTGGAGCCCATAAGCCAACATGTAATAATAAACAAAGCCTATTATCATTCGAAACGAAGAATATTAAGACAACAAACACCTGCCAGAGAAGCCATAAAAACTTAGTCGAGTGTAAACAGAACTACAGTAATACAATAACCGCCCACTAAACATGGAAGTGTTAGTGTCGCTTTATTCATGAAAATATCGTATAATATTAAAATTTCGCAAAACTAAATTAAAATCTTGGTATATTATGTACAGACTAATTTCACTTAGCTAATATCGCTTCATTTTCAGACCAGCCGTGATTTAGCTATAATACCAACTGCAATGTGTGTTTTTATACATATTATGATTTTTGCAAGGACTTAAAGAAACAGTATTTTTCTTAGATTGTGGGTTTCTTACAAAACTGTAAATTTTAAATAAAACGATTTAGCACATTTAAAGTTATTTTGCTGCAGAAGGAGATTGGTACTCAGACTTTCTAACCCAATGCTGCACATCACCAAGTTTAAAACTATTTTCCTGACCGAAGGACTTTACGTTCATTCTTGCTAGTTAAATTTATTTTATATCATATTTTAAGTAGCAACTGCCTGCTGGCGTTTACTAAATAGGTTGCACTTGAAAATACGTGAAAGGATAACAGGGAGAATAAAAACAACTGGCCTGTGTACTTCAACACTTTAAACAAATACTTTTTAAGAATGCAAAGTATGATGGAACATTACCGTAAAGCTGCTAATATTTTCAATACTGCTTTATTAGATGAGCAAAAGCTGTAATAAGGAAAAGTACTTAGAGCCTTTTCTCAGATTTATTACATTAAAATATTACCGTGCTTCAACGCTTTATCAGAAAAATCTACTACATATTTCACATTTAATCTTACAGTTAGAGCATAAGGCCAAAAAAATATGCCATTTATGTGCATTGAATATTGCTCATGTAATTAGAAACAGTGTAAAAGTACTACCCAAGTTTTTATATATGTATAGTTGTAAGTGTAAAGTGAACTGAAAAATTAGATAAGCACTCTATTTGTTACAAAAGGAGACATAAACATGAATTATGAAAAACAAAAACAACGTAGTACAAATAAATATTGGAAAATAATGACTCAGTACGAAGGAAGACAACATTTTTTTTTATTGAGAAGTGGAAGGAGTCGTTGTTAAATAGCATAGATGAAGTAGAAAATATTGTTTGGAAATAAATTTTCAAAAAATTTGGTTTTGGGCTAACTGTACCGTGTCTACTAACAAACACAGAACGCGATTATTTATTTACTGGCTAAACAATACTATAATATTTGTTTAATGCTAAACAATAGGAGGTAGTGTTTATTTTTCTATAAACTAAGCAGTATTATAACTTATTTTGAACTACGTAATAGGAGATTGTGTATTTACCTGATAGTTAATTTTGCAAAAAGAAAAGGCCCGACATGGCCAGGTGGTTAGGGTGCTCGATTCACAATCTGAGGGTCGCGGGTTCGAATCTCCGTTACACCAAACAAACTCGCCCTTTCAGCCGTGGGGGCGTTATAATG